AAAATGACACTCAAGTCTGTTATGGCATTGGCTTTCACACTGACAGCTGCATGCTGGCAGGTTTTCAAAGTTTTGTCGTGAAATTGCTGAAATGATCCCATGCAGACAGCTAAACCTGCAATTTTCATAGGCTTTCTGTCTTGGATTAGTTATTATCCTTAAATACAGGACTCCACCACCAACACTTATGTGCTGAAGAACCCATTAAGATGGTTTTATTTAACTTTGATACCCTTAAATGATTCCACAATAATCATTCATGTTTGCCTGCGTTTGCCTGCGTCATTAAGACTGTCTTCTGTTTGATTGGGAATTCTTGAAGACAAGCCACAGGAGACTAGAAACAAGACAGGGGAATTCAAAAACATTATGGTAATTATTTTACAAGATAACGAATTGGAAGTAATCTGTCATATGGAAAGTGCAATCTTGATTACATACATTCTTGATTACAATACTTCAGGAACATTGTATAAAGAAAATATCAATAAATGTCACTTCATATCCAATCACCTCTCAAGTTTTTCTTCCGGGAGTAGTAACACAGTATCTGGTTGGCTGACATTATACCCGTTTTTGGTGCTTTCAGGGATTAGCAGTTTAAAGGCCCAGAATACCATAACCATAAGGAATAGCATAACCATAGAAATAAAATCACTATTTTAATAAGAATAACACTTTCAACATAACAATCAAGAGCTCACATCTTCAAGTAATTAAATATCACATTACATTTCAATGAATTACCAACTAAGACCCAATGTTTTATGATAACTGGGAATTTACCTGTTTCTGTGAACACCACTCCTCAGGACCGTTCCACTTCCGGATCCATTTGGGGATGTTAGTCTTTGGGACCCTGTAATTTCTCTACCAATCAGTCACAGGGGCCCATCAACCCTTTCATTCATAAAGCTCAAAGTACCTCTTAGTGGTACATTGAGTTTGTTGAAAAGTTAAATCCGTATCCCAGCCATGATGGGATATCTTTAGCCTTAGTTTAGCTCACGTGCTGGGTTTGGTCTCCTTTACATCAACTGCCAATTATATTCTCCTCCTGGGTGTGGATAGGTTCGGTCAGCAGGAGGAAAAAACAGAAACATCAGTTTTTGGGCACTGAAGCGCACAAAAACATACAAAATGGGAAAACTTTTTTCCAGACACTGTTAGCATCCCAAAAGTTTAAACACTACAAGTGCTGCAGTGAATTCAATGTTAACAGTGGTATTAAACCCTCTTACTGTGTGTTACAATAAAAAAGAGACCCAGGATCTCCTTAGGACAGTGTTTGCAGACCACTCCAGTAAGGTCATAAGAGAAGTTGCCAAGTCACTACTTCCCACTCGTATTCCTCTTTACCCTTTAGCACATCTATTCTCAATAGGAGGAAAGATATAATACATTTGGAATAACATTTCACAAGCATATGGATAAACTTTTCAGTATGTGCAGGAGTAAGAATGACAAATCTTGGGCACAAATCTTGGGCACATCAATGGTCAGTAAGAAAATGTTTGGATCATATATCATGTCTCTGAAGTGACAGAGTGTAATACTTTATGTATTGTGTATTTTACAGTGCACAGCAACAAACAATATAAAGGCTACGTCATTGATGTTCATTTCTAAGGCAGTTACCCTAATCCCTAATGGTTATTACAATGGAGTTCTACCACATCAAGACACTGTGTAACAGTAATGAGTTGAGCAGAGGATGAGGGAAGAATAAGTCATGCATTTTCATAGTCTTATAATACTGGATTCCACCACCAAGTACAAGAACACTGAGTCATTCATAGATGCATGCTAACACTGTAATTTGGTTACTTTCTATGTTTTCACAACATAGCATTTTGTCATTTTCTATACTCTAGCATGCATCTATGAATGACTCAATGTTCTTGTACTTGGTGGTGGAATCCAGTATTACATGAAAATGCATGACTTATTCTTCCCTTGTCTTCTGCTCAACTTATTACTGTTACACAGTGGCTTGATGTGGTAGAACTCCATTGTAATAACCATTAGGGATTAGGGTAATTGCCTTAGAAATGAACATCAATGACGTAGCCTTTATATTGTCTGTTGCTGTGCACTGTAAAATACACAATACATAAAGTGTTACACTCTGTCACTTCAGAGACATGATATATGATCCAAACATTTTCTTACTGACCGTTGATGTGCCCAAGATTTGTGCCCAAGATTTGTCATTCTTAATCCATAATTCTAAAAAAAAAAACACGATCTAAAAACAGAAAATATGTTTGGCTGCTTGTGGTTAGCACTGTTTAAAATAACAAAAATAAACTAGAATTAACTGAACCTAGAAATGTATAAAATCCTGACTCCACCCTCTCTTGCTCTGTCATTTAGCTTAAAGTTGGGATAATCAGGCCTCTTATGTGGGCCATAAACACAAACAGAGTTTGAAATAATAAAGTATGGCCAAGGCATATCAGTATAGGTGGCACAGGAATATACTGGATGCCACCACAGTATAAGGTACAGCAACAGTTTCACAGCACTATAAAACACATGATAATAATACAGCCTTGTTCAAAGGGGGAAAATGCATGAACATAATTAAAAACATGCTTGGCATTTATGATGGTTGCCTGAAAGTATCTTCAGCTAACTGCATAGAATTATCTAACGTCACATTCATTTTGCTCTCATACCAACGTCTTAGAAATTAGACATCTTTATACTACTTAATCTTGGATATTTCTGTGTTTCATTTGATAGTGACAAGTTCAAACAATGTGTGTCAACCATGAATAAGTGTTATAACTATCAACTATGCAAGGCAGCACTTAAGAAAATTACAGTTAATTTGGTCTAATTCTAAAATTGGAAAAGTTCAAACAAGTTTCATGTTCTTGGAATGTTTAATTATAACCTTTGTGGAAGGGGTTTCTTGGTGTCACGTGTAATATAGGAATCCTCCACATAATCCTGGTACAGCATACACCTTCCTTTTCACCCATATCATCACCCCTATTTGCCATTATGATGCAAATAGACATACAAACCAGTCATTGCATTTAAACTGCAGGAAATAAACCATAAATGGTACTACGTTCAAAAGGTTTTAGGATACAATCTGTATATTGAGTAACCTACACATCGTTTATGGCCACTTGTGTATTATAAAACTATTATTATTTTGGGTGTAGGCATTTCCTATGTGGCGTGGACAAAATTCAGAAATTACAGTGAGAGCATCCCAAAGTTAAGACAAGGTGGTTCAGGGAACATAGTACTGGGGGATATAGCTGATTGAGGAAATACTACATATTGCCAGTAGCTATAATTGTAGGAATAGGCCTGCTGATGTATATGGTAGAAGATTCCCAAAAATAACAAGAAGTGACCACAGAGGCCACTTCACATCCCACAGAAGTTGACTAGCAGAACCTACCCCCTTGTGTTGAAGTCTTGATACTGCATCTCAAGAGCACTGGCCAACCACCACACACTACACTGCATTCACCAGGCAGAGATAGAACAAGTTCAACACAAATGGCTTTTCCAGTACTTCTTTTTATAGCTTTAATAGCTGTTTCAAGGGTGAAGCACTAACAAAAATACACAAGTTAAGGACTATAAACTGTTAAGCCTGAAATAGTGGACAAAATGAAAGGTTCACTATGTTCTCGAACAAATAGAAGCTGACCAAACAAAATCCATGCTGCTATGTTCATTTTAGGGTAAAAGGCTAAGTGTGTTTAGCCTTAAGTAGCTGTAGATTTAGATCCTATTATAACTGTTGGAATATTAGTTGAAAAGAGGAGCCAGTAGACTTTGCTTCTGCCCATACCTCTGCTGCCCTTCCAGTGTTTTTGTTTACCTTATCATAGGAGTAGTGGGAGATGTTCAGACAGTCTGGAAAGGTAACAGGTGTGTCAAATACAGACAGGCCGGGGCAGATGTAAATTGGGGATGCATATCATATCCTCAATGCCATCTTTGTGAGGCAATGATTCCACTATAGGGGCACCAAAAACAAGGCGTTGTTTTTAGATGTGTTTATCTGGATATTTTTGTAGAGGGTCATAGGAAAAATGAAACAGAAAAATAAAACATTTAACATGTGTCTTTGGTAAATATGATTATTTAACATTGATAAATTGTATCTGAAATGTATATTTTGTCATCTTCATCTAGAGTAGCTCTGAGTCGCTATGCTCACAACACCAGGTAGAGGAAAGTTACACGGAAAACCCAACAAAAGCAAAACAATTTAAAGTCTTCAAACCAAATAGTAAACTATTTTACATGTGTCTAAACTTGATTATTTTGTAGTTGGGGTTGGAAAACTAAAATAAGCTCTTATCATGTGTCTAAATATTCAAAGCAAATAGGCATCCTGATGTGACATGCCCGCATTGGGCAGATCTGTCAGCTAATTACAGTTTAGCTCTGAGAAGGGAGGTACTTGTGTGGTGGGGGCTTTTTTATGATGCAAAGGGCAGATATTGTATAAATACTCACATCATTGTACTGGGAGGCAGCAGATTCTCCAACGTCTTCCTAACCTAAGGATATACAGCAGCAGTAGGAGGACAGTGGTGCTGAAGATTTCTTACCCCTTTTTGGAACTCACTCAACTGCATGCCGGTATGTGTGCTCTTCCTCTCTATCCTCTTCATCTCTTGGGGTAGTGAACACTAGGGCCCTTCCGAGGCCTGACTCGGACTGGGCAGGTGGAAAAGATTTTGGTGCCTTATAAAACCAAGCAGGATAGCCAAAGTTCTATGAGAACAGGCTGAGCTATCAAGGAGGCTGAGACTCACTATTCAAATGTTTCCATGCTATCTATCTAATCTGAAATGTATGTAATCCAGTGTATGTGCAGTTCAGTATGTGTGCAGAGAGAAGAAAGAGTGTTACAAAAATGTCCTTACTAAATAATTGTGTCATTACTGCAACTTCCCCCAAAAATGTAAGCAGTATTGAATATTGTTTTGTTTAATTTGCAGATTTAACCTTAAAAAATGGAAGTACGAGTATTGAGCATCCTCCTCCTCCTGGTGGCCTTGACGGCAGTTCATGGTAGTGGTTCATATGTGGTGAAGAAGGTGATGAAGGCCGCCCCCCAATACCAGCCCTACTCTGTGAAGAGCCACAGTAAGAACCAACATCCTAATCTACATTGCCTAGTATGGTACAAGTGTCTTTGAAATTGCTGTGATACAGTTTCAATGGTCAATGTGACAGTTCAACTATAGTCAATGATAAATCGAACTTCTTCACACTTCACCACAAACATACTCATTTGCAAATGTGTCCACTTACCATGTGATTTACATCTGAGGATTTCAACTTTCAGTTCTTGCACAGGGACAATCAGACATACAGTTAGTGCCAGTTCACGCAAGAGCACTTCTCTAATTTGAAACATGAGCTTTTACCAACTCAAAGGTTATGCAGTGTAATCATTGGCTACTGTGATCTGGATCTTTATCCAATTGCTTAGTGTTTCAGGCCTCGTGATTTCATAGGAGCACCTGTATAACATTATGTTGCATAGTGTCTGAAGTGAGTACACTGTGTATGCACATGTTATTTCTGTCACTCAGGCTAAATAACCCTACATCTTCAACAGTTATTTTGTTATAATTCAAGGATTAAGTATGTTTTACCTTCATGATATCTTTACTTCAATTGATTTTCAATGTTATTTTTACTGGATTTTCAGTCAATCTCTTGGTACCTTCAGTAGGTCTTAAGAAGTTATTTTAGGATGACCAGTTAGATCAGTGATTCAGCAGTTGAGTAATTTTAGGATGACCAGTTAGAGCTGTGATTCAGTTGTGTAGAACTTAGTGGGGCATAAGGATCTGCTGACATTTCAGTATTTCTTTACATATTTAACTACAAAGAAAATGACATTTCAGTTATGGAAGTTTGGGTGCTTTGTAGTACAGATGATAGCTAATTTAAGTCATTTATAAAATGCCAATATGTGTTGAGTTGAAAAAAGCACATGAAATACTACAAGTTGAACTGTCTATAAATGATGTCCTCGTTATCTTATAGGATCTTCTCTATTGTAATGAATAGTTGACTTTGCCCTACCTAACTGATGGTAACAGTACCCATACTGTATTTTTTAAAAGTCAGATATATAGTTAACTAATGCATTACTTCTGAAAAATAGACACATTTTATGATTCTTCTTATGTTTACCTTTCAATTAATTCAGTTCTGCATCGGTTTCTTGCAATAGCAAATTAAAGTAAACTGTATTTTTAGATCATATGAAGTACCGTGTAAAATAGTGTGTGCCTCTTGTTAATATTATATGTATTTTAACACTGTCAATTACAGTTCAATCACCCAGCAATGTGGTTGTTTGGGTGTGCCTTTCAAAAAGTAAAAACATCTGTTTTAAATTAATCTAAACTGGGCCTCTACATTTGACCAAGGAGATATGCCTTTTACACCCTGGGTCATGTGACCACAAAAAAGCAAATGAAAAACAACTCCCTTAAATGTCATCATCCTGCTTCACAAATGCTTGTTTTCTCCAAATACTACAGTTTCTTAAGATAGAAATGTCTGCTTTTTTGTATGGTGTGAAATAAGAACAGGTTGAAAACAGAAGATTACTTCTAGCTAATAATTGAACAGGTTTAAATGTTTATGCAGGTTTGATTTCAGCAGTTTATCCTATCATACCGGATGCTCTTAAAGAGGCAATTCCTCCAAAATTAGGATTTAATATCCTAGTTTGCATTATTAGGCGATTTAGTTCACTTCCCCAAGCAGGTTTAACATACATTTGCTGGACAAAAGGGCGGCAATACAAAGTTCGGGAAAATGTAAATTCCACTATGTCATCACACTGCATGCTCAGTTAGCTATACAATCATTTATAATATTCAATTCAATTCAATTAATTCAATAAAATTCCAATAACTTATTTCCTGAGAAGGACCTTCATGTGTGGTGAAGGATTTAGTACAGACAAGACAAATAACAACATGGAAGACAAAATTCGTACAGAATGAATTAGTATCTCAGTATATTTTCTGAACACAATATGCATGTAGACATGGTTGTTTTCTCAATTTAATTAATAAACATTTTGAGTAAATGTGCCAAAATCGATAGAATGACATTGAGGGACAGAGTACCCTGACATTTGCCATTGATCAGGGGCCATATATATAGCAAGGGTCTCTGAGTAGTAGTGCTGATTTAGGATCAGTTTTGCATTTTAGATCGCAATGAATAAGATTACATGGACAGTGGGAGCTGATCATAAATCAGCACTCCTCTTCTGAGACACTTGATACATACAGCCCCAGGACTCAGGTTCCCATGTTTCCAGTAAAAGGACGTGCAAACCAAAATGTCAAACCAGAGCGAGGTTAAATTGGGAAACACCTAGTCTTACTTCTGTCTAGCTAGTTAACTAGGCTAACTAACTAACTTGCCTACCCAAAACAACAATCTAACGCGCAATTTTGGTAAATGGTCTGGAGGTGAATTGCATTCTGGGAATCATAGTATAAAAACATAAGTGGATCCACCACATGTACATGAAATTTGAATATGGAAGCAATACAGAGCAACAAATTATGATTGTTCCTCTGACAATTGCTAAGTGTAACACATTACTGTACTTCTTCAAAGTTGGAATCCATAAATTAACATGTCAGTCTTCCATCACGCAAACAAAATACTGGGGATTTACTACTACACTGCACAATATTAGAGATGTGAGCAGACTAAATAAATGTTCACTTTAAAACGTGTATTTCCGATCAAAAGTTCCCCCATTTGTTGCCTGGGGTGGTCTAGTGGTCTTATCCGCTGCCTTAGATCATATGTACTGTGCAGCTGTGAGCATGGGTCCAAATCCGACCAAATGCTCTAGCACCCTCTTTCCGCCTATCTTTCATCTCTACACCTCTATCTCTAAACCCTATCCAATAAAACACAACAAATAGGAAAAGATGCCCTACGTATGTAAATAGTTGTTATTATTAGTATTCTCTTACTATTATTTAAATTATTATTTGAGAATGAGCGACAATAGTAGCTGACCTAATTATAATTCTTAACCAGCAGAGAACACATGATCGTACATAGGAATTACTATTCCTTGCATTCATTTTTGTAAATTGAAAAAATTATTCCAACATACAATTGCCAATAACACATTTACTACAATAAGATCATTTTTCATCTGTGGTATTAATAAGGTGACTTCTTATTTCCTCACAGTGGTGCCAGTGGCAGGAGAGCCTGGTGCGCCAGGTGAGCCCGGCCCAGAAGGCCCCCCTGGCCCAGCTGGCCCTGCAGGGGAAAGTGCTGTGGGACAGCCCGGACCCGAGGGCCCTGCCGGACCACCCGGACCTGCTGGCTACTCCGCACCTGGCAAACATGGCTCCCCAGGTGGGCCCGGTAAGCCTGGTAAGCCTGGCGCAGCTGGCGAGAAAGGAGAGGCGGGCCCAGCTGGACTTCAAGGTCCCAGGGGCATGCCTGGACCTGCTGGAAGCTCCGGACCTGCTGGGATCTCTTCCACTGGCAACCCTGGACCTCACGGTCTGCCCGGAGCAATGGGGCCAAGAGGGGAAACAGGTCTTAAGGGACATTCAGGTATGCCTGGTTTGCCAGGAGCTAAGGGGGATAGAGGAGTGGGTTTCCCAGGGGCACAAGGTGAGACAGGGGCTGTGGGACCTATGGGACCAGTTGGGCAGCCTGGAGCATCCGGAGTTGGAAAGCCAGGCAAGCCAGGAATCCCTGGTGAGGCAGGAAATTCAGGTAGCCCAGGTAGGGATGGGGCCGCTGGTCCTATGGGATTGCCAGGTGCTAAGGGCCACACTGGGGCTCCTGGTGTAGGTCTGCCTGGGAAACCAGGTGATAATGGGGCTCCAGGTATGCCTGGTGCAGCTGGTCCTAAAGGTAATCAGGGAGCAACTGGAGCATCTGGTGCTCCCGGTATCCCTGGATATGGAAAGCCAGGAGCAAATGGACAGAAGGGTGAGAGGGGAGTTGTAGGAAGCTCAGGCACAACAGGTCAGAAGGGTGAGCCAGGAGCACAGGGATATACTGGTGCTACTGGTGCTACTGGGCCCATGGGTCCCGCCGGTCCTCAGGGTGCAAGAGGCTTCCAGGGAGATACTGGGGAAATGGGTTCCAAAGGTGACACAGGTGCAATGGGACCCCAGGGACCAAAGGGATATAAGGGAGATCAGGGAGCACAAGGTTTCCAGGGAAAGCAAGGTTATACCGGAGCAACAGGCCCAACTGGTGCCATGGGAGCTACTGGAGCTCCAGGTAACAAAGGTGATACTGGCCACACAGGTGCAACCGGTGCTCCAGGTGTCCCAGGACCTGCCGGGCCCAAAGGTTTCCCAGGGCGCAATGGTGAGGCAGGTGAGGCTGGAGCTGCTGGAACCCCAGGTCCCAGAGGACCTGTTGGGCCTGCTGGTGCCGCAGGTACATCTGGCCTTAAAGGACACCCAGGTCTCCCTGGCACACCTGGCCCAGCTGGACTGGCCGCTAAGGGAATCCCTGGCCCTCAGGGTCCCCCTGGGCTACCTGGTGCTGATGGTCAGGATGGTGGCCAAGGCCCTGCTGGACCTCCTGGCCCACCTGGTCCTCCCGGCGAATTCATTTTCGAAACGGGCATGGGCATGGGTGAGGTCATGGTCCCTACTCTTGTTAAGGCCCCCATGTCTGCTTTCTCTGTTTCTCTTTCTAGTCCTTATCCTCCATCTGGGGAACCTATTAAGTTTGACAATGAGGTGTACAATGCAGAGAATCACTATGACACTACCACCGGGCAGTTCACTTGCCAGGTCCCTGGAGTCTACTACTTCTCATACACCATTCACGTGAATGGGGCTCATGCTCTGGTGGCTCTGTACAAGAACGACAAGCCAGTCATGTTCAGCTATGATGAGTACAACAAGGGCTTCCTGGACCAGATGTCCGGTAGCACTGTCCTTATGCTCGATGTGAACGACACAGTCTACCTTCAGATTCCCGATGATGAGGCCAATGGAGTCTTTGCAGCTGAGAATGTCCACTGCTCTTTCTCTGGGTTCCTTATCATTTCAACGTGATACGGTGTCATCCAATAACGATACAACTAAATCTGCAAGCTATTTCCCAACCAGGCAGTTCTCTCTTTTTTGAGGAATAGAAGCATCTCGACTTGAAAAATCCAAGAAATGGGTGCTAAGAAGAAGGAAATAATTTATCTAACAGGTTATCAGGGATGGGGAGGCAATCAACAAAGTTACCAATTATTCAGAATTTTCTTTTTTGTTAGTGGAGGCAACATGTGAAATGTAGGTGTTATGGCTATGTTGTGTTCTGAAAATGTTTTAGTTTTTTCTCATTACAGCAGGTGATTCTTGTTTTGTGTATGTCTGTGTTTTTGTACAACCTTGTTTTTGGTGACCAATTTGATAACCTTATTAAAAGTACATGATTACTTCTGTGCACCATTTTGTACCCAACTTCCTTGTATGTTACCTGAATATTGTGAAATGGCAATGGTTAAATTGACCATTAGAAATAATACAAGATATAACACACCACAAAATACTGTCATACAAATACAAATTGTTTATCGACAACATTGTTATATCCCCAAAGATTAATTGTCATGTAAAGCATAATGACCAAAATAAATGATGTCTTAAAAAAAGTTTTTTTTGTGTGAGTGGGAGTTTTTCAAACAATGCAAAGGCATTTAAAATGTACACAGAACACTGATGATGTTCTAGTCACAATGTTAAGTCATAACTATAGCTAGAATGCTAGCTGATCCCGAAGACTTCAAGTCATTGCGCTAACAGTAGTTAGCAATCGCTAGCGAAACTACCTTTAACTTCCTTCAAAATGCAAACAGAGACATAATTATGGTACCCATGAGTTTATCTGACTGAGTAAGTAGAAAAATAGCTCAGCAGGCTAACAGTGTTGTGGTGTGTACATGGTCGCAGGAAGTGCACCCCCTGATAAATAAAAATGTAAAAAATTATAATAATTATAAACATTTGTAAAACTAGGCCTTTATTACTCCTGTATGAGTGGAGAAAAAAATACTCCTTCAAACCCAGTCGCTCACAAATGGACACAATGAAAATAGAGCATTCTCAAATATTCAATGATTCTTTACTAAAGAAAATTATGAAAGCTCGACCACAAATGAATAATCTTCTTAAATACCTAAGCATGTGAGAACAAGTATGTCATTCAGGAACAGTAAATCCATACTGTAGTCATACTATAAATTGACAATCACACCACACAGCATTTCTATAACCTACTTTCAGAAACATCAGAGCGTACTAAACTGTATCTTATGCCCACATATTGTAAATAAATCATGTACTGGGAACATGGTGGGGATCAAAAGAAAGGGGCCTCTACCACATGATAGGCCCTTGGTTGGCTGCTGGTGGCTGAAAATAGGTGGTGGGATAGTGGCAGGGAGTATCCGTCGGCAGGCCAAATGTTGTTTAATCCTCACTGGAAAAGAGGGGTGGTGGTTAGGTAGGGCTGGCCAGACAGACTCTGGGTGGAGGAAACTGGGGACTGGCTAAGGAGACTGCCATCTTGTGAGAGGCTTGTGGTTGGGCGGGAGGTGGAATGGAGGTGGGGTGTAAAGGAAGGCAGAGAACTGGCCATCACAGGGTGGGAAACAGTGGTAGACACCTTGGTCATGTCCTAACAGCCTTAGAGTTTTTTAACTGGTCACCTGTCCTTTGTAAGCACTAATCTAAAAGGACTGGATAGGCATGGCAAAACAGTGAAATCCAATCCTTTCAACTATCAGTGGTTATGAGAGAGATGGTAGTACAAAGAAGTTAAGACAATTGGGACACAACCAAGGATCTGCATCCATGTAAGACTCATACAGGCATGTTCATGAGGTGGGAACCACAAACCTCCAGTCCAAAAAGGACGCCCGGCCAAAGAGTGGGGACAGGAATATTACATGTAAAACACACCCTTCTTGCTGTGGCTGTGTTTGAGGTATAGAGTTAATCTGGGAGCAGAGTAAATGGATGGTTTAAATTTGGCTTGAGTGCAGCTGTGGTTGACTGAAAAAAAAAACAGTTGTGTCTGCTGCTCTCTCCCTTACACTTAGAAAGCACCAAACTCTTCATGAAGTCTGTATTTGTATTTTGTAATTATTAAGGATCCTCATTAGCTGCTGCAGCAGATACTCTTTCTGGGGTCCAGCAACATTAAAGCAGTTATATATAATTTAAAATATTACATGAAGTTACATTTCATAACACTTTTCACAACACATTAAGTGTGTTCCCTCAGGCCACTACTCTGCTACCACGTATCTACAATACAAAATCCATGTGTACGTGTGTGTAGAATGTGTGTCTTATCATGTGTATGTGTAAGCGTGTGTCTGTGCCTGTGTGTGTGTCTCTTCACAGTCCCAACTGTTCCTTAAGGTGTATTTTTATATAAATGTGATTCTACTGATTGCATCAGTTACCTGATGTGGAACAGAGTTCCATGTAGCCCATGGCTCTATGTAGTAATGTGCGCCTCACATAGTCTGTTCTTTACTTGGGGATTGTAAAGAGACCTCTGGTGGCATGTCATGTGGGGTATGCATGGGTGTCCGAGCTGTGTGCTAGTAGTTTAAACAGACACCTCGGTGCATTCAGCATGTCAACACTTCTTACAAAACAAGTAGTGATGAAGTAAATCTCTCCTCCACTTTGAGCCATGAGAGATTCACATGCATATTATTAATGTTAACTCTCCATGTACATTCAAGGGCTAGCCGTGCTGCCCTGTTCTGAGCAAATTGTAATTTTCCGAGGTCCCTCTTTGTGGCACCTGACCACACGACTGAACAGTAGTCCAGGTGCGACAAACCTGCCTTGTTGATAGTGTTGTTAAAAAGGACAGACCTCCCCATCTTAGCTACTGTTGTATCAACATGTTTTGACCATGACAACTTAAAATCCAGGGTTACTCCAAGCCGTTTAGTCACCTTAACTTGCTCAATTTCCACATTATTTATTACATGATTTAGTTGAGGTTTTGGGTCAAGTTAATTATTTGTCCCAAATACAATGCTTTTAGTTTTTGAAATATTTAGGAACACTTTATTCCTTGCCACCCATTCTGAAACTAAATGCAGCTCTATGTTAAGTGTTGCTGTAGTAGCTGACGTGTATAGTGTTGAGTTATCCATTGTCGTGACGTGGCTTACTTTAATGTATGACTGTTATTTATCAAATCACCTAACTATGTTTAATTGTCACTCGATTAAATGAATCATGTAACAATTAACTCATTAGGAATTTGGGGCACCGCGGAAGAAGTTGTTTAACGAGTTACCATCTCCCGAATTAAACTCTTAGAAGATATGTTATATATCGATAACAGTCACTTAACAAATAGTTACCTCTTGTCAGTCTCATTCTGAACGTCGCATAATCCTTCAACCTGCAAGAACCCTAACCTTATTGATGAATCAGCAATACACAAATTGGCTTAATTATTTATTTACTAAATAATATCACAATACAAACACACACAGGTTATTGATTACTAACGAAATACAATGAAAACAGGTCCCTAGTGGAAAGGCCTCCTGTAGCTCAGTTGGTAGAGCATGGCCAGGGTTGCGGGTTCGATTCCCACGGGGGGGGAGTATGAAAAATGTATGCACTCACTAACTGTAAGTCGATAAGAGTCGATAAGAGCGTCTGCTAAATGACTAAAATGTCAATGTAAAATGAGTAACAATCACATGACTGCTTGGGTAGAAGGAGGGTCAGAGTGGAGGGAGAGACAGAGATTCAAACTATCGTGGTTACTTTGGAGACTATGCTCACAGTAATCATAATACTTATGCACCCTAATAACGTTCATTCGGATTAGAAATGAAACATGTATATACGTGTAGCTGTCCTCGATAGTTGAGTTGATGATGTAGGACTCTGATTTGCCCACCAGAGATCCCAATGTCCTTGGTAGAGTTTATGGTCATAGTGCTGGTTAGAATGGACACTTCAGATGTACCAGCGGTTGTCTGAGAGGGATTGTCCTTCCCACTTTGTGTCTTTAGTGAAAGTTCTCTAGACGACTATACATGCCAGCTGCCGACTGAAATGATCATGTCTAGTGGATTGTCTTCACCTCGTGTAGAGGTTGAGAGTTTCAGAGTTTCTCCATTTCAAACGTGTGGACTAACGTCTCACGTTTTCTGGTCTTTCTGGTCTTGTAGAAATTAAACAATTTCCAACGTTTGGCTCATGCTTCACGTCTGCTGGTTGGTAATGGAGTTGTAGTTTTAAACCATTTTGTAATGTTTAGCTCACGCTTCACGCTTCTTGGTCTGTAGAGTTTCAACCATTTGCAACGTTTAGCTCACGCTTCACGTCTGCTGGTCTAAAGGTTGATTTGTTTTTCAACGCTTTTTATGCACTCGGGGTAAAAGGGGCGTTCCATCATGTTTACACGATCTCTGATGTCACTCGGGGCGTGGCTAGACACTGTGCATAGTTTATACTGTATGAAAAACTATTATCTCATTAGAAGAGTAAAATCACATTCCTATCTTCACCTAAATACTCTCATACTTAATCATATAGTTTATACAACATTTAGATGTAAACTTGATAGATAGAATATGTACACTTTCCGAGTTACAGTTATTACTTGATACCATCCTTACTGACATCACAAAATAATAAACAATATGACATGATTATTCTTTAGATCCCCACTGACCATTTCCCACATTCATTTAAGTGGGAATATTGTTTCATTATACACTTTTGGATGTTGGAGTCTAGGCGGGAATACTTCCTTTGTCTCACAGGGAAATTCTTTCTTCCCATACTAGAGACCAAAAGGAGAACTTTTCCGCAATTTATTTATGACCGACTGTTAAGTCATAAAACTGGCCCCCAGGAAAGGGGGTGTTCAAACCTTTGCCTAGCAGGAATGTTTGATCCTCAACCCATGAGGGCAAGTCATGACACCATATACATAGACACACTGGCTTTACTTAAGGCCAGTGGCATGTCATTAGTAAAGATTGAAAAAACTAAGGGGCCTGGGGAATTCCTGATTCTACATGGATTATGTTGGAGAGGCTTCCATTAAAGAACATCCTCTGTGTACTGTTAGACAGGTAACTCTTTATCCACAATATAGCAGGGTTAAATTTTTCCCCAAGAACACAGTGGCCTCCATCATTCTTAAATGGAAGAAGTTTGGAACCACCAAGACTCTTCCTAGAGCTGGCCGCCCAGCCAAACTGAGCAATCGGGGGAGAAGGGCCTTGGTCAGGGAGGTGACCAAGAACCAGATGGTCACTCTGACAGAGCTCCAGAGTTCCTCTGTGGAGATGGGAGAACCTTCCAGAAGGACAACAAGCTCTACAGCACTCCACCAATCAGGCCTTTAAGGTAGAGGGGCCAGACGGAAGCCACTCCTAAGTAAAAGGCAAAAGGCAACTAAAGGACTCTCAGACCATAAGAAACAAGATTCTCTGGTCTGATGAAACCAATATTGAACTCTTTGGCCTGAATGCCAAGCGTCACGTCTGGAGGAAACTTGGCACCATCCCTACAGTGAAGCATGGTTGTTGCAGCATCATGCTGTGGCGATTTTATTCTGCTGCAGGGACTGGGAGACTAGTCAGGATCGAGG